ACCTTTTTAATGTTTACTGCCAGTAGACTGGATCCACTTTAGTTTAGGTGGAGCCCATCCTTCCTGTATAGGCTCCCCCTATCACAAAAGTTTCCCCAATTTCTCATCAATCTAAACCCTTCCTCCTTACACCATCATATAATCCATGCATTGAGAATCTGAATCTCTTTCTGCCTACCTGGCCCTGTGTGTGGAACATGAAGCATTTCTGAGAATGCCACCATAGAGGTCCTGGATTTCAGTCTCTTTCCTAGCAGCCTGAATTTAGCCTCCAGGATGCCTCTCCTACCCTTCCCTATGTCATTGGTACCTACATGTACCATGACCACCGGCTTCTCCCCAGCACTACACATAAGTCTGTCTAGATGCCTTGAGAGATCCACAATCTTCGCACCAGGCAGGCAAGTCACCATACGGTTCTCCTGGTCATCATAAACCCAGCTATCTACATTTCTAATGATTGAATCCCTCATTACTTATCACTTGCCTAATGACTGGAGATTCCCCCTCCCACCCCAGAGAGGTAACCTCAGTGAAAGAGGATACCCCAACATCCTCTGGAAGGAGGATCCCAACTATGGGATGGTTTCCCTCTGCTCCCTTTGTCTGCTGTCTTTCCTTGAGCCTGTCATCCTCCTTGACAGTGCAGGGGCTATCTGACTGGAGGTGGGACAATTCTACGGTATCCCAGTAAGCCTCATCAATGTACCTCTTTCCAGTTCAGCCACCAGTTCAGCCACCCTGGCCTCCAAAGTCTGTACAAGGTCACCGAGGGCCAGGAGCTCCTTGCACTGAATGCACACATATGCCACCCGCCTACAGGGCAGGAAATCATACATGCTAAACTGAGCGCAATTAACAGGATAGCCCCCACTCTGCTCCTGGGCTTCTGCCTGCATTCTCTCCTACAGCTACCTAGGTTATTGATAGGGTTTTTATTTAAATCAGAAAGTTCTGGATATAATTTAGTTTAAACATTTTAAAGAATGGCAAGTATGCCTCGCTCCCTTCCCACTCCCCTTCTGAACTCCCTCTTGAAATTTTCTGTTTGCAAAGCTCCCTGGTTGCCGACTCACTGCTTTGTAAAGCCCTGGCCTTCCTTATAGCTCTGCCCCTTGACTAATGCCCAATCAATGAACAAAGGCTTCTAGATTTCAAACCTCCTTTAGAAGCCACAGCACATGGTCCTTCAAACAAACAAAACAAACAAACAGGCAGACAAACACAAGCTCAGCAAACAGCAAGTAACCCCCAAACACAAACACACACTACAAACAGCCATTTACTTCGAGGGTGCCATATTTGCTCCTCCTTCACCTAGAGAACGCCCTCTCATAACTCCCTGTTTGCAAAGCTCCCTGGTTGCTGACTCACTTCTTTATAAAGCCAAGGTTCCAGGCACATTTAGTATACTTTTTAGTGTTGAAAATTATTTATCATATATGAAGAAATTACAATGATAAAGGTTGTTTAAGTTCTTCCCCCTAGTGCATCCATTCTGTGCACTGCATCAAACAGGGCTCCTGTGGATGATAAATGAACTAGAAAAAGGGGTAAAAAGTGAAGGGGTAAAGTTTGCAGATGATAGAAAATTACTCAAGATAATTAAGTCCAAAGCAGACTATGCAGAGTTACAAAGGAATCCCAAAACACAGGGGGTACATCTAGACTACATGGCTCTGTCAACTTACTCGGCATAGTCAATGAAGCGGGAATTTAAATAATCCCAGCTTCATTAAAATAAAAATGGTCACCATGCTGTGCAGACAGTCAGCTGATCCAGCACAGCGCGGCAATCTAGACACGGTGCGGTTGACAAGGGAGGCCTTTGTCGATTGCTCCAGTAATGAGTGAGCCATTCCTATTTAGGCTCTTTCTTATGTATCAGATTTGCATGTAAATTACAGCTCAGCAGTTTCATTTTTAACCTTGTTTTTGAAGATTTGGGCGGGGGTTGTTTGTTTTGGTTTTTTTTTTGCTTCAGGATGTCATCTTCCAAGTATTGATGAAGAAGTCATCAACGTAGCACAAATAGAAGAGGGGCACTTGGGATGAAAGCTGAAGAAATGTTTTTCTATGTGTTCATGCAGGTTAAAATGTTCTCCCATCAGTTTTGGTATATCATTCTTGATGTCTGATTTGTGACCGTTTATTTTGTCATATATAGATAGTTCAGTTTCTCCAATGTATGTGGCAGAGGGGTCTTGCTGGGATATGATGCCATAACTCACATTAAAATATGTGCAGGTGAGTGAACCTTTGAGAGTATGGCTGATGTAGTTAGGTGTCACTAGAGTAGATGTGTGGACAGGGTTAGCAATGGGGTTTGTTGCAGGGATTGGTTCCTGGGTTAGTGTTTTGTGGAGGAATGAGTGGTTTGGCATATGTTTTTCAGGTTGAGAGTCCACGTGTAAGTGAAAACTGGCCTGCCTCCCAAAGTCATTATCTAGGATAGGTTGTAGATCCTTGATGATGAGTTGGAGAGGTTTTAGCTGGGGGCTGTAGGTAATGGCTAGTGATGTGCTATTGCTTTCTTTGTTGGGCCTATCCTAAAGCAGATGACTTCTGCGTACCCATCTGGCTCTGTCAGTCTGTTGCCTCACTTCCCCAGGTGGGTATTGTCATTTAAAGAATGCTTGGTAGAGATCCTGTAGATCTTTGTCTGAGGAATTGGAGCAAATATGGTTGTATCTTAAGGCTTTTCTGCAGACCCATCGTCACCAACTATCGATTGCGATCGACTGAACAATTGCGAGTGTTCGACGAGTCAATCACGAGGCATTCGGGCCTCTCCAATTTCCCCCCACTCCTGAGAAACCCCACTACCTACCTCCTGTGAAAATGGAATTAGCGTGGGCTTTCTGCGGGGTGGATGGAAATCCTGCAGCTGCACACCACTTCCAGGGGTTCTGGAAGTGTGCCGGCTGCGGGGTGGATGGAAATCCTGCAGCTGCACACCACTTCCAGGGGTTCTGGAAGTGTGCCGGCTGCTTCCCTCCCCCAGGTCTGTGGCATGCCAGGAACTTACCATGGGGGAGGGGAGGAGAGTCCCCAGAGGAGGCATGTGCCAAGGCTTTTCTCCTTTGCAGGAAGGGGAGTTGGCCCTGAAGAAGGCGCGCGCGCGGGTGCTTCCCTGCACCGTGAGAGAGGGAGTCGGCCCTGGAGGAGGCACGCTCAGGGGCTTCCCTCCTCTGCAGTGGGGTAGGAGGGAGAAATCCTGGGAGGAGGCTGGTGCAGGGGACACCCTGCCCCCACTGGCACTCTGTCCCCTGCTGCAGAACCCTGTTCCCTCCCCTCTGACACCCTGTCCTCTCTCCCCTCTCTCCTGCTGCAGAATTCTGCCCTCACCCCAGCACTCTGTCCCTTGCCCCCACTGGCACCCTGTCCCCTGCCCCAGCACCCACTAGCACCCTTCACCAGTACCATGTCCCCTGCCATTATGGAGGGTTTGGGGGTTTTTGTGGGGGTTTTTTTTTTTTTTTTGCATCTCCCTTGTGTGGCACCAACTAACTTTTGTATGGGTCAGTGACCCCTGACTCAAAACAGGTTCCCCACCTTTATCATAAATAAAGACAATGCAGAAACTTTTTGTGTTTGACATAGTATTTGATTTAAAAATGAAGCCTGGCCAACAAACCCTCATCTGGCCACAGCATTATAACACTCCTGCAACCCCCAGACCCTAGATCTGAGCCAATCATACACTGGAAACCCCTGCCCTGAGTCCATCACATACCCAACCCAAATTCCTGCACCCTCACAGCCACAACAGCCGTCCATCTGACCCCAACACTCCCTAGCCTGGAGCCCCTCCCTGAGCCAGCCTCCCCTTCTCCACCTCCTTCTGCATCCAAATTTCCTCCCAGAGCCTGCACCTCTCACTCCTTCCCACACCCAAATCCCTCATTCCCACCCCAGAGCCCACACATCCTGTCTCAACCCAGTACGTTTTTCCAGGATTCCAGAGATATCCCAGAAAAACTCTTCTGCATCGAGGGACGCTTTTGTTCTTCCACTTTTTTTAGTGGAAGAGCAAACATGCTATATTCCCCTATATTCCTCGTTCCATGAAGAACAAGGGGGATTCTGAAAGAAGGGGGTTTTCTGACATTTGGTTCAGTCTAGACAGGCCAAATGTTGGAAAAACCTCTTCCTACAGAAGAATTGGGGGAAAAAACATGGCAGTGTAGAGTGTATAAGGGCTGGGGATAGCAAGTGATGGAGAGGAGGAGAATAGAGAGGGCAGGGCTTCAAGGAAGGGGTGGGGTCTTGAGGGAAGGATGGGGCAGTAGATCTTCGCTTGTTCTGAGATTTAAAAAGTGATCTTGGGTGTAAAAAGGTTGGAGACCACTGCTGTAGACAATGAATTATGTGATGTTCTGTGGATGAAAGCTGGAAGCATGTAGGCAAATATAGTGGTCAGTAAGTTTCTGGTATAAGATGGTGTTTATATATCCATCACTTATCTGACCTTAGTTTGTAGGAAGTGTATGTCTTGTATGGAGTGGTTCAAATTGAAGATGGAGTGGAAATTGTTGAAATCCCAGTGGAATTTTTCAAGGGTCTTTTTTCCTTGGGCCTATCAATGTAGCACAAGTAGATGAGGGGCACTCAGGATGAAAGAAGAGGAAGCATTGTTCTAAGAGAGCCATAAAAATGTTGGTGTAGTGTGGGGCCATAAGTGTACCCATAGCACTGCTGCTGACTTGATGGTATAAATAGTCTTCAAATCTCAAATGGCTGTGGCTCAAGACAAAGTCACAAAGCTCAACCACCAAAAATGCTATTATATCATTGGGGGCAAAGTTCCTGACAACCTATTAGTGGGGGCTGATTTCTCTCAAAAAATCTACAACACAAATATCCTTTCCTTAACAGCCTAGACAAATATCAGTAGCAAATAAAATCACTGTTTGTTGAAAACACGTAATTAAAATGGCAGGTTACAAAGTAGAGAGTAGAAATTATAGTTCCAAATTTATTGCAGAGAAACAGGTTTATAGTTCTAGCAATAAGAAACAGCTGTTGTACAAATGGCACCACAGACAATACAGAGGCACAATGTAATTCAATTTTATTGATGAGAAATTTGATTTTGAAGGTAGAATAGGATGAGTTGCAATGCCACTTTAAGCTCCTTCCTCTTCTCTTATAGAACAACTTCTCAGTGTTGTTCCTTTGTGAGAATTTTTAAAGAATGGGCAAACCTCTCCTGAGAATGAACAATCTTTAAATGTGGACAACACAGACATGTCAGTTACATTGAAAAAGGTCACCTGCTTCTCTTCGTAACTAAGATAAACTCCAATTTTCTTGGGCTTTTTCTGCACTATGACCCGGGTCCATGGGTCTGTTTTTGCCCAATAATCTCTCCCACTGAAACCCAGAACCCAGAATCCCTCTTTAGGGGACAGGGACAGTTTCCCTTTTCTCTCAATGGATTTGCTGGCCACTCCCAGGTCCCAGTCAGTGCTGCTCTCGACATCCACCTCCCAGTAGTGCTTTCCTTTGGGGAATCCTTGAGAGCCCAGCACACAGACAGTTGAATCGAACCTCTCTGGAGCTGGTTGAACTTTTTGAGGTTGGACTTCATGTGTCAAACTCTTCTTATCCTCAGCAATGGAGAGGTTGGGGTGGGCTGTGTTTGCATCCAGAGTGATGTTATCTGCGAAGATAATTTTGGATAGAAAAAACTGTCTGATGCCGATATGAACTAGCATATGGGAGATTTGGCTTCTGGACCACTGTCTGCTGAGTTTCACTTGGTCAAAACTCCCATTGACATTGGGTTTTGTACTGTTCTGACAATTTGGTTGCACAGAAATATTTCAGAGATGTGACATTTGATTAAACATAACACAACAATGGGAAGGATACTGAAGGTTTATATTATTGAAACTCAAATATATTGTCCCAGGTTGTGTTACTAGCTACTCTGGTTGAAGAAACGGAAGGAGAAAGTCCCAAAATCAAATGAAGAATGCTTCAGATTTCATACCCATGATAACATTACTTTCTCAGCTTTTTAAAAATATGAATCTCTTTTCTGATTACCAGGAGAGATGTGTATTCTGTTACCTGCATAACGGTGAGTCTTTCTCCATTCTGAAATCAAAATGAGAAACAGCAAATATTGAGTTCAAAGAGGCATATACTATCAATTTTCCTCCTTTGGGCAGCAGAAATGCCTCAGGTTGAGGATAGTTAGGTTGTCAGAAATAATACATTGTGATTTATTGTGCAGAAAACAGAAAATAAAGTACAAAAATAGTACACATGCTGTGGCTACTATATTTGTTTAAGGACTATTTGTAGCTCTTATGGAGTCACCAGATCTGTTATATTTTCTCACTTGTCAGTCTCAGGCAGAGAAATATGTGTGGTGATAAGAGCTGTCCTGAGGGGGGATTCAGTGCCTGGTGCAACCCCCTGCCCCCAATGCCCCAGGCACAAAGCCAGGGGCAACTCCCTGCCCCACTGCAGCCATGGCCTCTGATCCACCCCTTCCCCATGCTCCATCCCCACTCCACCCCATTATCCCCTCTCCTGAGCAATACAGCCTGTGGTATTATGGGGACCTGGTGTGGTGACAGCAGGTGTGCCTCCCTACTCACCAAATGGACAACTGGAGTGGCTGGCAGCTTCCTGTGCTCTGTTCCACTGCATCACCCTCTCCTGGCCCTGGGGCTGAGGCATCGTGCCTCCCACCACTACGGAAAAGCCACATGCATTGGGTTGGGAGGGAGGGGAGGTGCGATACAATGTGGTGGAGCAGTCTGCTGAGTGTGGGGTAGGGGTGAAAACTGCTGTCATCCTGCACCAGACCCCTGTAATCTCCCAAGTCCTTCCTGTCCATGGGAAGATTGGGGTGGCCATTGTGGGGGCCCCAAAATTGTGGGGCCTGCGAAAGCCACCCTGATTCATCTTATACACGATGGTGAAGCTGGCACTTTGGGGAGCTGTATGTCCTGTCCCTGGAGCTATGTTATAAGAGAGGTGCTAAAAGGCTACTAACGCAAGGGAAGTAGAAGACCAATTCAGGAAAAAGGTCCGAAACGAGTCCAGCCCCCCGCCCTCAAGGCAGGATCAAGCTCTGTCTACACCATCCCTGACAGATGTCTATCTAACCTGTTCTTAAATATCTCCAGAGAGGGAGATTCCACCACCTCCCTTGGCAATTTATTCCAATATTTGACCACCCTGACAGTTAGGAATTTTTTCCTAATGTCCAATCTAAACCTCCCCTGCTGCACTTTAAGCCCATTACTCCTTGTCCTGTCCTCAGAAACCAAGAGGAACAAATTTTCTCCTTCCTCCTTGTGACACCCTTTTAGATATTTGAAAACCGCTATCATGTCCCCCCTTAATCTTCTTTTTTCCAAACTAAACAAGCCCAGTTCATGAAGCCTGGCTTCATAGGTCATGTTCTCTAAACCTTTAATCATTCTTGTTGCTCTTCTCTGTACCCTTTCCAATTTCTCCACATCTTTCTTGAAATGTGGCGCCCAGAACTGGACACAGTACTCCAGCTGAGGCCTAACTAGTGCAGAGTAGAGCGGCAGAATGACTTCACGAGTTTTGCTTACAACACACCTGTTGATACAACCTAGAATCATATTTGCTTTTTTTGCAACAGCATCACACTGTTGACTCATATTCAACTTGTGGTCCACTATGACCCCTAGATCCCTTTCTGCCATGCTCCTTCCTAGACAGTCGCTTCCCATCTTGTATGTATGGAACTGATTGTTCCTTCCTAAGTGGAGCACTTTGCATTTCTCTTTATTAAACCTCATCCTGTTTACCTCTGACCATTTCTCTAACTTGCTAAGGTCATTTTGAATTATGTCCCTATCCTCCAAAGAAGTTGCAACCCCACCCAGTTTGGTATCATCTGCAAACTTAATAAGCGTACTCTCTATCCCAATATCTACATCATTGATGAAGATATTGAACAGTACGGGTCCCAAAACAGACCCTTGAGGAACTCCACTTGTTATCCCTTTCCAGCAGGATTTAGAACCGTTAACAACAACTCTCTGACTACGGTTATCCAGCCAATTATGCACCCACCTTATCGTGGCCCTATCTAAGTTATATTTGCCTAGTTTATCAATAAGAATATCATGCGAGACCGTATCAAATGCCTTACTAAAGTCTAGGTATATGACATCCACCGCTTCTCCCTTATCCACAAGGCTCGTTATCTTATCAAAGAAAGCTATCAGATTAGTTTGGCATGACTTGTTCTTCACAAACCCATGCTGGCTATTCCCTATCACTTTATTACCTTCCAAGTGTTTGCATATGATTTCCTTAATTACCTGCTCCATTATCTTCCCTGGGACAGACGTTAAACTGACCGGTCTGTAGTTTCCTGGGTTGTTCTTATTCCCCTTTTTATAGATGGGCACAATATTTGCCCTTTTCCAGTCTTCTGGAATCTCCCCTGTCTGCCATGATTTTTCAAAGATCATAGCTAAAGGCTCAGATACCTCCTCTATCAGCTCCTTGAGTATCCTGGGATGCATTTCATCAGGACCTGGTGACTTGCTGACATCTAACTTTCCTAAGTGATTTTTAACTTGTTCTTTGTGTATCCTATCTTCTAAACTTACCCTCTCTCTGCTTGTATTCACTACGTTAGGCACACCTCCAGACTTCTCGGTGAAGACCGAAACAAAGAAGTCATTGAGCATCTCTGCCATTTCCAAGTTTCCTGTTACTGCTTCTCCCTCCTCACTGAGCAGTGGGCCTACCCTGTCCTTGGTCTTCCTCTTGCTTTTAATGTATTTATAAAAGGTCTTCTTGTTTCCCTTTATGCCTGTAGCTAGTTTGATCTCATTTTGTGGCTTTGCCTTTCTAATCTTGCCCCTGCATTCCCGTGTTGCTTGCCTATATTCATCCTTTGTTATTTGTCCTAGTTTCCATTTTTTATATGACTCCTTTTTTATTTTGAGATCGTGCAAGATCTCCTTGTTAAGCCAAGCTGGTCTTTTGCCATATTTTCTATCTTTCCTACACAGCGGAATTGTTTGCTTTTGGGCCCTTAACAACGTCCCTTTGAAATACTTCCAACTCTCCTCAGTTGTTTTTCCCTTCAGTCTTACTTCCCATGGGACCTTACCTACAAGTTCTCTGAGCTTATGTATTTATTCATGTTTAAAATGGGTGACACCCTTCAGACTCAAATTAACTCAGACCTGCCAGCTCTGTGGAAAATCTAATGAGGTTCAACAAGGACAACTGTAGAGTCCTGCACTTGGGCCGGAAGAATCCCAAGCATTGTTACAGGCTGGGGACCGACTGGCTAAGTTGCAGTTCTGCAGAAAAGGACCTGGGGATTACAGTAGATGAGAAGCTGGATATGAGTCAGTACCGAAGAAGGCTAATGGCATGTTGGGATGCATTAGGATGAGCAGTGGTTCCCAAGCTTTTTTATAACCATTAACAAAATTTAGCAGCCCAGTAACATTTTATTTACATATTTGCAAATATGCAAAAAACAAACATGCAAATATTCAAATAAAATGTTACCAGATAGTTAAAAGCCCCAGTACCCAGTACCCTCAGTGCCAGCCTCCTGTTTTCAGAGCCCCACTGCACCCAACCCCTCATAACCCCAACGAGTGCCAGCCCCCAGTCCCCACTACTAGCCCTACTCCCAGAATCCCAAAGTGTTAGCTCCCTGCCTCTTACAGGCCCCCAGCAATATCCCTGCCCCCCCACCTACCTCTGCGCTGCCTTCTAGCTGCCAGCTGATCATGGCTGCCTGGGTTATGGCTGCTCCAAGGCAATGGTTCCCAACCACTGGTCCATGGGATTAGTGGAGCACTTGGCCTCACCAGCAGGACCATCTAGTGGCCACCAGAGCTGCAACCAGGGCCATGGTGAGGCTCCTCCAGTTGGGATAGCTTCACTGGAATCCTGGCTCCAGCTGCAGCACACCCAGCTGCCCACTGCCCCACTAAACTTGCTGCTGTGTGGGTAAGTGGGTTGGAAGGGAATTCCCTGGGGAATTCCAGCATGCAGGGCTAAATTAAAGTTGGGGTTGTGGCATGGCAATGTGCCACAGCCCAGCAGAGAGGGATCCATGGACTGATGGTTGGGAACTGCTGAGTAGAAGCATTGCCAGCAGATCTAGAGAAATGATTATTTCCTTTATTCGGTTCTGGTGAGGCCACACCTGGAGTATTGTGTCCAGTTCTGGGCCTCCCATTACAAAAAGGATGCACTGGAGAAAGTCCAGTGGATGTCAAAGGAAATGATTAGGCAGTTAGACCACATGACTTATGAGGAGAGGCATTTGGGCTTATTTAGTCTGAAGAAGGA